GGGGTTGGCCCGCCCGGATGCCTGGCAGAGGCCCCCCGGCCCCTGGAGGGCTACTCCTGAGCTCCAGCCCTCTGGAGCTCCGTGCTTGGCTATCTCTCGACCTTGAACTTTCTATTCTGTTCTGCAATCAGTTCAGAAAGCAGCCTTTCTAGACTCCTTTCTTATCACCGGGAAACTTCTAACACAACAATAGTTGATTGTACTGCTCTCGTGGGTGCGGCTACATTCCTGGACCCCCCCAAACACCCCCCAGCTTTTTTTTTTTTTTTTTGGTAGCTTTGGAACTATAATGATCCCATTGTGATTGGTCTGTTCAGGTGGCAGTGTGACCCTTGAATTTAGAAGCATGAAAGGGTGGTGGGAGGTGGGGAGAAGGGGGCAGAGGAGGAGGGAAGGGGGTGCCCAGAGACAACCAGTGCGACAATCAAGGGAAATCTTCAAGCAGCCCAAGGACATGATTTTGCATCAATCACCCGGAGATGGCCTCACCTGGACTGTCCAGATCTAAAAATACATAGTTATTTGTCAGAACACTAATGGTTGTTTGGTTTGGGGGTGTTTTTTTTTTTTTCAGTTATTGAGAAAGAAAATAGGTTTATAATTTTCACACACACCCCCCAACCCTGAGCCAACCTGTAAGACTCAACTACCAGTAGAGTTGATAGAGATTAATGTGAACATGAAGTAACCATAGGCTGTCAGCTGTGTATCCCTGGCTGGCCACAGGCTGCCGTGGGGAGAGAGCCGGAGACCAGGGTCAGGATGGGCCCAGCCCCCAGGGGACACGGGGCACACCAGCTTCCCACAGCTCAAGGTCTGCAAATAGGGCAGGTGAGGATCTCAGCCTGCCCGGGGAGCCCGTGGTCCACGTGGATGTGCTAGCTACCAGCATGCGTGCCCAGACTGGGCCTCAAGTTCCTGCCTCCGGTTCACCGGCCTGGGCCCCCCCCTCCCCCGCGCAAGAAAGCCCCGCCCAGAGCTCCGGGTGCCACCTGCTACCACTGTCCCCTTAGCCCAGGGGACTTCCTGCCTTCTCTGGGCTCCTGAGAAAACCCCAGGAGGCTTTTCTTAGAATGTTGGGCAGTCACTGCACATTTAGGACTTGGCAGGGGCCCCAGTGTCCGGAACAGGGAAGCAGCTCAAGTTCCAAGGCCTGGAAGCCTGGTACGATGGCCGGGAGACCGGTGGGGCCAGAGTGGTGGCAGGTGTGGACGCTGGCACCTGTCCCTCGGTGGGGACCTACAGCGGGCCTCCTGCCATGCTGCTCCTCCGGGCCTCTGTCTGCAAAGGGGCCCCTCCCAGCCTCAAACCCTTCCTTTGCTGGCCAGTCTGGTTGAGTGGGGACACAGTTCATTGGCATTTGACACCATGCCTTGGACAGAGTGGAGGCTCATGAATGGTTGTCATCACCATTGTTAAAAAAAACAAATAGACTCAAAGGCATTGGTATTTGCTCTCTTCTGGGCGTTTCCCCAGCTTCTCCCAGCTCAGCCTTCCTTACGTGATCCTCCGCTAGGGAGAAGGGAGGCACGTGCAGGGCTCCCCACCTGCCCCATTTACAGACCTCAGGCCTTGGACAGCCAGTGTGCACAAGGTCACAGAGTCCAGCTGTCTGGTGGGGTCCCGGGCTACATGCCACAGGGGATCACTGGTCCCAAACTTCGTTTCTGCTTGGAGACCCCTTCTCACCCCAGGACAGAGGCTCCCCAAGGCCCGTGGGACAAAACTTGGGCATCAGAAGATGGCCCAGGGTCACTATCCCCGAGTGGCAGGGCTGCCCTGCCCAGCAGAGGCCTCCGAGGGTTTGGGCTCCAGATGGACATGGCCTTGGAGAGCAACAGAGTGGCTGGGAGGGGCTGGGAGGGACCCATGACGGGGACGTACAGAGGCTGCTGGATGGGGCCTGGGAGCAGCCTTCCCGTGTGTGTTCATCTGGAGGGAGACCAGGCGTGCTCTCCCATGAGCGGTGTGGGCGGGTCAGGCCAGGAAAGACCTTTCAGGTAAAGCTGTACTGTGGGGAAGGCTGTGAGCTCTCTGTCATTGCGCAGAGCCAGGCAACCTGGAGCGGGTGTGTTTGGGGGTCTACCCAAGGACCTCTGAAGCTTGAGGAAAGGCCAAAGGTCCCAGAGCTCAGCTCAGACCTAGAGTGGGGGGCGATTCGGCCTCAGGGACAGCCAAGGGCTGAGGGAGCTCCTAGGGCCCCAAGAGAAGCTGGAAATGCACGTGTGTGACTACTGTCCCTACCTCCCCCTGGATAGCAGTGGCAGGCCACCCCTGTGGGACACTCAGAGCTGACAGGTCACCCAACCTCTTGCTAAATAAGTGGCAGAAAAATCCAGGCCATTTTTACAAAATAATCTATTGAAGTGAAGTTCGCATAACATAAAACCAATCACTTGAAAATGTACAGTTCGGTGGCATTTAGCACACTCACAATGTTGTGCAACCACATCCCCCATACCCAGTTCCAGAACATTCTCATCCCTCCAGAAGGAAACCTCGTGGCCATTAAGCAGTTTCTCCTCCTTTCCCTTCCCACAGCCCCGGGCAACCACCAATCTGTCTCCTGCGCCTATTTGCCTATTCTGGATACTTCATATCCTAAGCCATTTTTTGTTTAAAAAGAGCGAAAAGCGGATCGTGGGGACCCGGCCCCCATGTGGCAAGCTGCGTGGGCTGGGGCATGATACTTCGTATTCCTGTGTCTGTATCCTCATCTGAAAGATGGGCCTAAGAACGGCTAACGACAGGGTTGTCGTGGAGACAGAGGCATCAGCCAGTCAGCGCGCTGGGTGCAGGGTCTGCTCCCGGAAGCCTTGGTGCGTTTTAGCTGCTGTTGGCACGGGCATCAGAGGTCGGGACGATATGGCACAAGGACAGCTAGGACCAGGGCAAAGCAAAACCTAGAACAGCAGACTTATTCCCCACTGGGCACGGCTCACGCATGTAACTCTGGGCAGGTCACATGCCTGGTCCCAGCCTGCACCTGCTCCTTCCTACTTCTGTGACATTGGGCCTCAGTTTCCCCATCTGGAGTGGGAATGCAGACCTCAGAGTGTTGGAGGGGGTAGGCCGTGGCACCATTCTGAGGGCAGGGGATACTCAGGAAGGAATATTGTGCCCCCAAGCAGGGATGCAGTGAGGACCAGGGGGACCTTAAGAAGGAAGGCCTGGAAGGGGTGGCAGAGGGCAGGTGTCCAAGGTCACAGTGAAGGGCAGTTGAGGGAAAGAGGGCCAGGCCTGAGAGCAGGCAGGCAGGGCGCTGGCTCCTCCGGGCTGACGAGCCTTGAACAAGTGGCTGGATGCTTCCTGTCCTGGCTCCCCTTGCGGGCGATCCATCAGCTCGGCTGTTACTGTCCAGGGCGGCGAGTGGCCATAAATGGGCCCGGCCCCTCCTCTGCAAGCGGCCCAGGTTTTATGTTGTAAGAACACTGTGGGGCGTCTCAAACACACCGCTAATGACAGGCATCATGAAGCAATAAAAGTGATGGGGCTGGTGGGAGGGGGCTGGCGGGAAGAGAGGGGGCCACCAGTCCCCAGCTCCCCCGGCGGTGGCGGCGGGAGCTCTCCGAGAATTGATTAGTCTTGGACGTGCTGACCTTTTTGTTCTTGAAAAATTGCTTTTGAGCAGCTGAGGCAATAAAAGTAAATTGATTCAGAGAGAACGGAGGATGAAATTTGCGTTAGGTGGGGAGGGGCGGATAAACGTCCCGTGACGTCAGCGCACCCTCCCCCCACCCCCCAGCCCCTGGGCAACAGGAGGGCAGGACCCGAGAAGCCAGGCGGCTGGCACTGGAGGCTCAGCGGGCTGGGGCTGCCCCAGATGTTCGGGCAGAGAAATGAAACTGATAGTGGGGAAGGTGGGGACAGGGGTGAGGTAAAGTGATGGGGGAGGGGCGGAAATGAGGAAAACACCAAGGGGAAGAGACAGGGGGATTTGGGACACACATTTGGAGTGGAAGAGGAGGAAGGAATGAGATTAGCACCAGGTAGGGGCTCCCTCTCCGGCACACCCGTGCCCTACCACCTCGTCGAATCCCCACAAAGCCTGATTGTTGTCCCTATCTTGTAGACTGAGGCGACTGAGGCCGGGCAGGTCAGGGAGGTCACCTGCTCAAGGTCACCCAGCTGAGAAGTGGGAAAGCCCAGCTGAACCCCTCGGAAGCAAGACAGGAGGCTCCAGAAGGTGGGCCCTTTAGTGAGTCACTGTCGGCAGCAGCCCCACACGGAGGGGGTACCCTGGACCCAACACGCCCCCAGACTCGGGGCGGCCCCCAGCAGCCAGAAGTGGAGGCTCGAAGACACAAGTGTGGGGGCCGTGGCTGCCAGGTGGGCCGAGACTTGATGTCCTGCAGTCTTGGCCTGGGCTCCCCACCGGAAGCTGAAGCCAGAGCCTGGGGGCAGGAATGACAGGAGTCCAGGTCTGTGACAGCTGCTGAACGGGACCGGTCACACGGAATTTCACCGCTGCAGCCACCAAAATCCCACCAGAGTCCCACTCCAGAGGCTCTCAAGTTCATGGGCCACACTCCTTGATTTGGATTTAGATCTGGGTCTGGGGGGTTGAGCTTTTGGAATCCCGTGACTTTCCGATGGGAGTGAGTGACCTCACAGGGTGAGTAAACACCACATGGGGCCAGTGCAGGCAGTGTCTGATGCTCCCCTAAAATGCAGGCACCCCAAGGGGGGAAACCCCAAACCCTGCCAGAGCTCTGTGGGTGATCCCGCATGCTGCCTTCTGCCTCCGACAGACCCCAGATGGGCCAGTCCTGAGTGGACATCACGTGGTGGCACACTGACACAGCTCCACCATCACGGGCACTGCACCCTGCTGCCCCCCCCCCAGAGTCTCCTGCCCACCAGCACCAGGCGCTCAGACCTGCACCCCCTTTGTCCCAGCCCAGCCTCAGGAGAAGGCCAAGAAGCTTTGCTGCCTCTGCTTCGCAGGGAAGAAAGGCCCTTGCTGGGGGTGTCCTGCCTCCCTCCGTGCGGGCACACAGCCTCCAAGGTGCCCCAGCCCCGCAAGCAGCTCCAGCAGGGGCCCCGGCTTCCCCCAGCCACCTGCAACCCCCCGGGCGCCAAGGGTTGCCGGGGCGACCGCGCTGTTGCCCCTGGAGACGCTCGGGCACAGGCCCCTGGGACGGCGGGAGCCGGGCGGCGGGACCCTCGGTGCCTGAGCGGCCGGGGTCAGGCGGGGACGGTGAGGAGGGTGACCCCGGGGCTCCTCCAGCCCTCTGGGGCCGCGAGGGCCTGTCGCACCCTTGCCCACGGTCCAGGCCCACAGCCCGCAGCGCCCACCCCGGCGTCTCCCCGCCTGGGCGCAGACCCCTCCCTCGCCCACCGAGGAGCGAGTGCAGGAGCCCGGAAGGCAGTCGCGACTTGTCGCTTCCCAGCCGGGCTGCCATTCTCCCTTGGCTGTTTGCCTGCAAGGGTCCCCGAGGATGGAAAGGGGCATTTTTCACGGAGATGAGTTGCTTCCTTACAGGGAAACTGAGGCTTGGTGTGGCTGGGTGACTCACCCGAGGTTTTGCTGCAAGCTAGCCTGGAACCCAGGCTACTTGACGCCCCAGTTTCGGCTGCGTCTCCCGCAGCCCGCTCCGTTCCTCGGTCGGTGGGTGACCCTGGGTGGGCCCCTTGCCCTCTCCGGCTGCCCTCCCCACCTGTGAAAGGCTGGACCGGAGCAGGGCGCCCAGGGTGCAGGCCGGGCCTGGCGCAGGGACGAAGCCACTGCTTGGCCCCTCCTCCCTCCCGAGCGGGCCTGGCACAGCCAGCAGGTGAGTCAGGCCTGGCCCAGCGCCGGGGGAGGGTGTGCAGAGGTCAGCCGACAGGGCCGTGCTGGCCGCTTTCTTGGGACTGGCTGTCAAGCCTGTGGTGTCCACCCTTGGGGCCCCAGCAAGCCCCTTGTCTGGGTAGCTTCTGCCAGACTCCGGGAGTCCTGTGCCCACCAACATTGGTGAAGGCCTGCCAAGTATCCAGTCTGTGAGCATTCATTCACCAGAGGTTCATTCAGGAATTTTCAGTCTCGATTCTACCACGATAAAATGCAAATTCCTCTGAAAGTATCATGGAGGTCAGCAGGGGTCCTGTCGTTTTCAGACCCTGAAAGTGGCGCGCCCTCCCCCAAGCAGGTTTGTGACTATCGATGACTTCACTAGGGAGCCCTTCTGGGAAAAGCAGGCCACCCCGATCTAGATAAGGCACCCACCACCACCCATATTTGTCTCTCTCCCCAGCACCCCACGTTGGTGGAAAAGGAGAGCCTTCTCTGTAGGGCCATCCTGACTCACCCCCATGGTGGTCCACGTGTCGTCCACTCCGCGCGTGTCCTGCCTGGTGGCACGTGGCGGAGAGATGGTCAGCGGTGCCAGCCGCACGGGCAGGGACAGAGGAGGCTCGAACCTGCACTGTAGGCACAGGCAGGGGGAGGTAGGCCCCCGTGAACACTGTGGGGAGGTGGGATCTCTTGACCGGGGCTGGAAGGAGACAGGATTCCTCAAGCGGAGAGTTGGGAAGGACTCTGTCCTCATGGGAAGGTCTGGTGGGAGCGAGCAGGTAACAGTGCTCAGGATGTGGCCGGGAAAGGCATTGCTTTGGGCTTGGTCTCGGGGCTCTGCAGATGAGCGTACTGTTGGCTCCTGGCTTCACCTGCCCCCCTCCCCAGCCATCACCACCACCCACCGCCACCTCCACCACACAGACACAAGCCAGACCGTCGCCCCCGCCCGGCTGCAGGAAGGCAGACACACTTTACAACCAGCTTGGGCATAACCCAAGTCAGAGCAGTAAGGTGCAACACAAAGGAAACTGAAAAGCCAGGGGAGGTGGTTGTACCGTGCCTTCCCGGAGAGGTCACCACGCGCCCGCGCGTGACGGTCTGTGCGGTGGTGTGTTTGTACCGATGCTGTCCACAGGCAGGCCCTTGACATACAGTGTATGTGCCTATACAGAGTGCATGCACACACCACACACACACACACACACACACACACACACGGTAACATCTAGGCAAATGCCTTTCCATGGTGGGTTGGTGACAGTAAGCACTTTGCAGGGGAAGGGACTTTCAGGGACCCTGAGCAGTGTCCACCAGAAAGGTGGGCAATCCTGGCCCCTCTGCCCTGATTTGCAGGAGAGAAATTGACACAGAACCCCAGAGTTCCCAGCTTTACTTCCCACAGGCCGCCCCCCTGCACAGAGCCCCCAGGACTGGCATTTTGGGGAGATACACAGCGGTCTGCCGTGGCTGAGAATAGTATGGAAACTGCCTTCTGGAATCAGTGGACAAGTCACATGAGAACCCCACTCCTGTTGCTTTGCAGCCTTATTCAGGCTTTGTCTTGGTTTGGGTTTCAATTGTACAGTAAATTCTCTCTTCCAAGCTGGACCGCTCACCTTTTCCACCTGATCTGGGCATCTCCTTCCCATAATCATCTCCGTCAGCAGCGAATGGGGATTTCCTGCCAGAAAGGCCATCGCAGAAACATTTGCTAAGTTCTGGAAGAGGAGCCCCAGCTCCGTCCTGAGCATGGAGGCCATGCAGGCAAAGCAAAGCCTGCTGGAGACGTGACAGCCCTGATCTCTTGTTGCCACCAACTTTTGTTGAGTACCTCGGCAAGCTGATACTATCAGCACTGGGCGGACCTGCCTAAGCCAAGGAGGGGCCCTATCCTCTGGTGGAGAGCGCATGATGGCCCACTCTTCCAGTGGGGTGGTGTGCAGCAAACAAAGACCGGAAGGGCGTTCTGCCACCCACCTCATCCTTTATAATCCCACCTCCCCATCTTCCAGTCGGGGTGGGGTGGCTGGTCCTCCCAAAGCCGACAAATGTTCACGATAACCAAAATACCCAACATAGGGGGGCGCCTAGTTGGCTCAGTCGTTAAGCATCTGCCTTCGGCTCAGGTCATGATCCCAGGGTCCTGGGATCGGGCCCCGCATCGGGCTCCCTGCCTGCTTCTCCCTCTCCCACTCCCCCTGCTTGTGTTCCTGCTCTCCCTATCTCTCTCTTTTCAAATAAATCAATAAAATCTTAAAAAAAAAAAAAAACCAACAAAGGAACACGGTGTATTCACAGATCAGGACCCTAAGCCCCCATTTATTATGGGGTTTCAAAAACTATGAAGATCCCAAAGACCTTTGTGTGATTCCATCTGTGTGAAACATCCAGAATAGGCAAGTCTGTAGATCTAGAGAGACAGAAAGAAAATTAGTGGTTGTCCGGGGCTGGGGGGAAGGAGGGAGTTGGGGGTGACCGCTAATGGGTACGGGGCTCTTTTGGGGCAATGAAAATGTTCTAGAATTACATTATGAGGGCGGTTGCACAACTGTAAATTTACTGAAATCATTGAATTTTATACTTTCAATGAGAGAATTAGGGGTATATTAATGGTATCTCAATAAAGCCGTTAAAGATTTTAAGTCTCCTGGGAAAATGTTCCTGATGGTGTTAGCCAGTATGTACATCTGATTTCATCTTTATAAAAAATATGCACGCTATTAGAATGACTCTTCAAAATATGCACACTGATTTAGAATAACAGAAAGCAGACCAGGGATGGCCTGAGCACAAGGATGGAGGCAGTGTGGCCAGGGGCTGGAGGGAAACATTGTAACCCGGCACAAGGAAACTTTGAGGGATGATGGGTATGCTCATTATTTTGACTGTGGTGATAATGGCATGGTTGCACACGCATGTCAAAAATGACCAAGCTGCACTTCAGGTATGCGCAGTATTTCGTGTTTGCATTTCGACTATCTCAATAAAGCTCTTTCTTCTTTCATCTATGCACAGGTGTATGTAGTGAGAAGACCGGAAGGAAATACACCAAAACATGAACAGTGGCTTTGTATGGGGGAGGGAATCACGGACAGCCAAGGCAGGATCTGTCCAGAGTCAGGGCGAGGCTGAGACCCGGCGGCTGGAGGCCCGGCGGCCAAGCCCCTGGACCAGCCCATCCCTGCCCCAGGCAGACCCCATGACTCGCCAGGGAAGGCATCAGGCAGCCAGGGGTAAGATCCTCCCTGGGGAGGGAATGCGGCAGGGCCTGTGGAGCAGGCAGGTGAGGCGGGCACAGCAGGTGTGCTGGGCAGGCTGGCCAGCGAGGCCCACTCTGGCTGGGAGCTTCGGCGGGTTCCCCTCAAGGCAGACAGGCAGGAGAAGTCAGGTAGGAGACCAGCAGGAATTTCCCACCAGGTGGGCGGGCTCGGCACCCCTCCCTCCTTCATTCCCAAGGAGAGAGCTCACCCCTGGCACCCTGGACTGCCCTGGTGGCCTTGCCCAGCAGCAAAGTTGGTGGGGTTGCTCATGACCCTGCAGGACAGGTCAGGCAGTGAGGCTGGTCGGGGAGGGAGTCCACCAGGGACCCGGCCTAATTCTCACATCAGATCCCCAGCAAACCCGCAGCCCCCTGAGCTTCTGTTTTGAGCAGCCGGATCCCCGGGCTCTGCAAAAGAGCTGGCTCAATAAGTCCTGGTGGATGGATGGATGGATGGATGGATGGATGACATGGGACAGGGGTCTTACACGTCACCTCCGGGCTAGCAGCAGGCACACACAGCCTTGTAAGTAAAAGTACCCAGGGAGCAGGGTCAGCACTCTGGGCACCGCCTGAGTCACTTGGTTATTCCTGGCCACGGAGGACATCCAAGGCCGGAGTGGGGCTGAATGAGGGGGCCACCTGGCTGCCAGGAGCTTGGTGAGGCCATGGTGGGGAAGTTCAGCCCTGGAGGGAGTGGAGCAAGAAGGTCTGGGGCCCCGGTAGGAGGCTTTCAGACGGCAGCTGGGGCAGGCTGGGGGTCAGTGTTCCAAATTGGGGCCTGAGTCCCGTTCACAGAGATGCAAAGCTGACATCTTGGCCTGCTCGGAGCTGTGCAGCTGGTTGGCAAGCCCCTTCCTTAGGCCCCAACCGACTCAGGGGACAGAGATGTGACCATGAATAAGGAGCCACAATTATCCCTCCCTTCCACTACCCTGTCGCAGGCCGGGCCGGTGCAGGGGAGGAAAGGCAGCCCGGGGGCTCCCCGCTGCCTCCAGAGTCCAGGGGAGCCCAGGAGACTATAGGTGCAGCCAGCCGTGCATGGAAAGCTCGCAGCAGGGACCAGCCCTGGTCTCACCTCAGCCGTAAGGGGTGCCGGGGACCCCGGGTTCACACTCCAGCTCTGCCTCTTTCCAGCTGTGTGGCCTCAGGCAAGTTACCTCACCTCTCTGAGCCTTGGCCTCCACTGTGAAATGAGGATAAAAATACTGGGTCTGGGGGCCCCTGGGCGGTTCAGTCAGTTGAGCGTCCGACTCTTGGTTTCCACTCGGGTCACAATCTCAGGGTCATGAGATCGAGTCCCTTGGTGGGCTCTGCGCTCAGTAGGGAGTCTGCCGGAGAGTCTCTCCCTCTACCCTTCCCCGCACTCTCTCTCTCAAATAAATAAATCTTAAAAAAAAAAGAAAAATTATAAATATGCAAAGCACTTGGCATGTAGTTTGTGCTTAACAAGGGGTGGCTGTTATTATCTTATAATTATTCTATTATTAATAGATGAATGTTAGTATCATCATTTCATTACTGTCCAGGTTTCACATCTCTGATCCCGAGACAAGATCTGTCCCCAGACCCACCCCCAGCCGTTCAGCCTCCTCCCCCACTCCAGCCACCTAACGCTGGTGACTTAGGATATCATAAGCTACTTGTGGATCTAAGAGATTTTGTCCCCAAATATTTTCTGACTTTCCAAAAAACTTTCAGTACCCTCCCTCTCCCTGCCTCAGCCTTAAACTTGGCCACTAGCTTTGTGACCATGGCTGTCCCTTCCCCGGCTTTGGTGGCCTCCAGAGGGATCCTCACCAGTCCTCAGGGGCTGGTGCCTTCCCCAGTTAGAGGGGGGCTGGGAGGGGGGCTCGGGAAAGGCCGAGCTGAGGTCAGCCCGTCTATTTTTACATCCCTCTTCCAAAAGGAGCCACGACAGCAGCCCCACGGCCATCACTCAGCGTGC